ATTGATTTTTTTACAACAAAAACTGACAGCGAAAACATTTAAAGACATTAAAAGTAATTGCTGCCATTGGTGTTTCATTTGTATGAGCTGGCGCTTATTAAACCTGTTAATACAGTCATTATGGGGTGTTGCCATTTAAAATTAAAATTGATTCACATTTTGATATTTTCTCATTTCAATTCATTAAAAAAGCACTATGAGGGATTTGTTGGCATCTAGCGGTGAAGTTGCAGATTGCAACTACCTGAATACAGCTCAGCCTTCCAAACGGATCACAGAGCCATTTTGATGCAGATGGAATTTCTGCGTTACACACACCAATCACCTATAATATTGCCATTCACTGTATGTAATCAGCTGCAACATTATCATAACTTTGGAGGTTGATCTACTTAGGCTGGAGCAAACAGTTCGTAAACTTACCAGAAAAAAGAAACTATCGATGTATGTCCAGACAAACTTCCTCTCCAGTCTACTGATCCAGGGAGCCTGAAAGGTGTTGTTCAGGGCTGTCTGGGTAATATCCAAGGAGTAGGGGTTCGTCATGACAAAGGGGACACAGATCCACTGCAAAGACAAGAAACACATGACAGCAATGCAGCACAGAAGGCCTGCAATAGATCTTTGTGAAGCTTATGTTTTTTTTATTTTGTATTTTTGTCTAATTTTATGGGTGTACTTTGTGTAGGTGTTGTTTTGTTGGAATATGTTTTATTTACCAACCTTAGAGAGCACTATGAATCAACCAAATAAAATCAGAACACCATAAACTAGGTATTATAAATTATTCTACAGCAACGAAAATGTTTTTACTGTCAAAGGTTGTCCCATAGGTTGCTAAGAGAATGAAAAAATTAATTGATAGCATCCTCACCATGGTTAGAAATATGAGGATGACCTGCACTATGTCTGTGTAGGCCACAGAGTAGAGACCGCCCATTAGTGTGTACACAATGACCACTGCAGATGAGATCCAGATGCTTACAGGGTAGGACAAATCCAAAACCACATTCATGGTGGCGCCTGTATTGGACACATGCACACATTTTGTTGTCACTTAAGGAGATATATATATAGATATATATATTCCCTGGAGCCTTTATCAAAACCACTACACGTCTAATCCCTTTCCCCACAATTGACTGTTTTCACAGCAGCCATTTTGACATGAAATAGTAGAGTAAACACAGGTTTTACCAATGACAGTAATTAAGGTTCCATACATGCACAATAGCAGTACCCTGACTCTGTTTGACCTGAATGGAATGGAATAGAGCCCTGCAAGGGAAAGTTTTCTTAATCCCGCTCCTGGTGGATTTTTGATCATTACCACCCCCTCCCACTTTGTTTGTGTTCACTCCCACCTGCTCTCACACAATAGCAACTTCATGTCTTCTCCTTTCCCGCAGGTGAAAAGATGTAATTTTACTGTCAGTCTTACTGTCAGTAACAACTGAGAAAGTCTCCAAACGCCAAACTTTTAATCTTCCTGCAGCAACGTCAAAACACCCTGCTCCCGCAAGATTTGTGTTGGGTTGGACCTGCAGGATCCCAATCCCAATGCAACCCTCCAGAACAGAACCTTAATTAGTATCATTTCATGGAAATAGAACCCAGAGAGTAGCTGTACAGTGCTTACATACCGTACCTAAACTAATTAGTGTTGCAGCCAAGAACATAACATCGGCTAGGAGTAAAGCCAGCGACTGAATGGCTGTTATAGCTTTTCCATACTTGATCTGGAAAGGGTCCAACAAGGTCACATATTTGCTGTCTCTCATTGGCTTGGCAAACACGAGGCCACCTTGATAACAAAAACAGACAGATTTGCTGTTGGCAAGATACATATACATTGAAGAGAAAGAGAGAAAAACACGATCAAGATTTCCCAATTTCTACCTGGTATTAAAGGTCCAGTGTGTCAAAAAATAGAATATAATATTTATATGTATGTTTTTTTAGTGTATATAGGAATCATGTTTTTGTGACACTGGAGTGGACAATGTTGAACTGCCTAGAAGGGACAAATCATACACTGGCTATAAATAGAGGCGTCACCATAGTTTTTCCTATACAGGCTTGGAATGGGAGGGTGAGAGAAGGGCGTTGTAAACTACACTGCTAGATGCCACTAAATCCTGCAAACTGTACCTTTAGAAAACCATTGTAAATATTGACACCAGTGGTTGTTAAGTGAACTGCAGCATCCTGTTGCTCACACTTGCACTCCGTACACAGTCCGTAGGCTAATGTTGCTACAGTAGCCCAGCACGGACAAACTAAACACTGGCTTGAGATTGAGGCATTCACGTTTTTTTTCACTGGACTTGCACTGTGTATCTGGATATACCATCTAAATGATAAAATCTGCACATAAGCCTTGCATTTATGTTCTGGTTTTAAGTCTCAAGTCGAGGGAAGCAATGCAGGATACTCTCAGGGAACAACATTAGGTGCTAGGCAAGGTGTAACACACAGCAGAGGGCTTTCGTAAGTTTCCCTCAGTATTGTTCCTAATTAGGCTAACATTACTTATAGAAGTTGCAGTGCTAGCTGGCCATTCCAAAGTATTTTCTTCTCTTGGTTTGTTTCTGTTCTGTACAATCCATTGCACACATGCCTTGTGTCCCTATAGTGTATAGGCACTGGCAAAGTTTTACAAACAGAAAACCTTCATGGTTTAAAAATACAAAATACAAAAAGTGATAATTAAATTTAATTTAATTTGTTAAAACAAATTCTGACTGCGGCGCCCTGGTAGCTTGCGTGGTAGATCGTGTGCCCCATGTACTAAGGCTGAGAATCACATGATGCACAACACTCTAAAAGACTTTTTCATTACAAACAAAATTGCTGTAAAATGATAATTAAATGATGAATAAATGGCAACACCCCATAATGACTGTATTAACAGGTTTAATAAGCACCAGCTCATACAAATGAAACACCAATGGCAGCAATTACTTTTAATGTCTTTAAATGTTTTCGCTGTTAGTTTTTGTTGTAAAAAAATCAAT